AAGTTCAGGGTGGTTTTTACCCCGTATAGGGGTTTAGGGTTTAGGGTTTAAAGGGTGTGGATTCAAGTTTAGGGTGCTAGAAGCCTTCTTAGTCTCAGGGTCGCTGTGATGTGTTAGACGGACCTCTCGGGGCCATCCTCTCCTTATGTAAGAGATCCTGAAACAATATCGGTGCCTCAATGATTCGAGATAGTATAACTACACCAAGGAACCCGGAGGAATGATATTGGTAATTATTTAGCCCCTGCGTGTTACCTGCCTACCTTCATCCCCCCCTTTGAGGCCCTTGATCTTCTGAGCTCGGACAGGGCACATAGGCGTAGGGACCTTTTCGAAAGTAGACCTCGGATGTGGGCAAGGGCAGTCGTGGAACCTGACCTAAACCTCTGATAGAACTCAAGTCAAGCTCTAAGCGAGCTCCAAGCGGCTAGCATGCAGCAGAAGGTCCAGCACCAAATAAAGCAAAGAGCCACCTCTCCAAGAGCAAGCAAACTGCTGAGGGATGAAATGAAAGGATGAGGATCCCCGAGTCAGGGCTTGGAGCTTTGTGCTTAGGGCTGTCGAGTCTAAGGCTTCCTATCTTGGAACCATTTGCAACACTGGACACCTTGAAGCTGACAGTGCAACTTGGTATTCACAGCGGATCTGACAATCCAGCTCGTGACATGATATGACGGCATCAAAGCAATGGCCATAGCAAACCTAGGCCGCCTAAACCGGCAAACCCTCCGATTCTCATCTAAATAGACACTGAAGAGGCGCAAGCAGGTGAATCGCCAGCGGGGCCAGGAGCCAGAGCTGCGTGAGCCTGCTGTGCAGTGTGTAATGTATGTATGCATGCATACATGTATGTATTTGTATATACATACATACATACATACATACATACATACATACATACATACATACATACATACACACACACATACACACATACATACATACATACACACATACACATACACATATATATATATATACATCTACATACATACATACACATACACGCATACGCATACGCATACGCATACGCATACGCATACGCATACGCATACGCATACGCATACGCATACACATACGCATACGCATACGCATACGCATACGCATACGCATACGCATACGCAACACATACACATACACATGTACATATACATATACATGTTTATATATGGTACCCGTATACATATCCTGAGACCAGATCTCAGAACCCTAGCAGCCCGAGCCCCGCTTAAAGCTACCCAAGCCCGCGACTGGCCTTGAAGCAACCCTACGACACCGCAGAGCTCAAACCCCATTCTATGATTGTAGCAACCACGGAGCTTGGAGACGGCGACAGAGATGGACAGGTGCTGCAGAACACTTCCCACCTGCCAAGCACTTGGAGCATTTTGGGGGCCAAGAAGAGAGAAATCATAACAGAAATAACTATTGCAATAGTAGTAGCAATGCTAAAAGTAATAAATAATTGATTCACCGAGGCATCAGGACTCAACTCCTATGTTGCTCTGACGAGGAGAATTGTTTTTTTATATAGCTTTGATGCTGTGTTTCAAGCCGGCAACTGACTGGCGCACTGGTAACCATGATGGATGTCATTGCTGATGTTGGCGATGATTTGCAGTGGCCAGTGGGTGTAATAAAGCCGTTTTCAGCAAACAACATTATACACAAGAACCCAGGCAACAGTGCAGTCAAGCTCAGCCAAGTACAATGCAAGTCATTATCAAAACGGAGACACGCTGACGAGGGCAGCCAAGCGCAAAAGGGCAGTCTGACTCAGCAAGGAGAAATACCAATGACAAGGCCTGCGTTGTGGTCAACGTCATGGTCATCATCCGCATCATCGTTCTCGCACTCGCCAGAAGCATTTTACCACGCACAACAAACGTTACCCTAATCACGATCCACGTTATCTATGATCACGAAGCAGTGACGTTCTTTGGTCCGCACCGTGGCCCCTGCAGCGACCCCGACGCCACGCGAGATGGCACGGCGCAAGGAGCCCCTGGCAGGTGGCTTGCTAGGAGCAGCTTCTGCACCGTTGTCGGTCAAAACTCCTGCTTCTGTTGGGTTGCTCTTGAGATCCCGCTGCCCTGTACTGCACTTACGACACAGATTTAACAGGCAGGGAGGGCCCTGCGTACTGGGAACCGTAGCTGGACAAGTAGCTCACGGTACAAACCAGCACGCCTCACGCCGTGTTGCATGCCGTAAGTCCGGCTGAAGCTGTTTGGAATCTTTGCGCGGAGGTATCTGACTGAGCCAGAGTGTTTTTGCTGCGCTCGGCACCATGCCGCCGCATACAGCGCGAACTGCTCGCATCCCGAGTTCCTTTACATTCTGCGGACACTCGGATCCCCGCTGTCCAGGCCGTAGTGCAAGTCCAGGATCAAGGCGAGAAAGTAGGACCTCGAAGGATCCAACGACCAACTTGTGCATGCCGACGGCGGCTTTTGCCCGTGACTGTGACGCAGTGCAGCAAGAATCTCTAAACCCTTAAGCCTATAATCACAATCCCTTTCCGGTACCCTAAGTTTCCCTCATCACCTCTAGCAAAGTGATAAGGCCGAAGGGCAGGGAGACCTTGAGCGCACTACGCCACCTCAGCCTAACGGCCGAAGAGACGGCCTCGACATGAGGGGAGTGCTCCAAATGAGGGCCCCTTAAAGGGATATACTCTTGGGGTTTCGATAGGAATTTCTATAAGGGTACTATAAGGGTACTGTGTGGGTAGTTCTCTACATGAAGACTTCAAGCTGCAGCCAAGCCACGAAGAGGCAAGTTGAGGGTTTGGGGTTGAGGGTATAGGATTCACGGAACGCTTATCCGCTCTGTTCGTTGACATCATAATTCTGATTCAAGCATAGTCAAGTATGATGAGTTTTGCAGTGACGACTGGTGCCATATTTGCTATACCTGCTTCCCGATATCATCTGCCCTCTGACTTTTCTAGCCGTATCGTTGCCGCTTGCACCTAAAGGACTAACGTGGTCCGCTCAGTTGTGATAAGTCCGTCGGCAATCGAAAGCATAAATACTACAGGTTTGAACAGACTGACTATCTCAGAATGCGACAAGAGAAGATATTGACTCTGGCAACTGCCGCCCTGACACAGCAGAAAGGAGCTGCGGTTGTAGAACGGACCACTTCTACTGAGTTTGCTCAGTCTAGTAGTTCATGGGAGGCCATCATCTGCTCACCTTCCTGTCTGCGTGCTCTGTATGCTTAAAACGCGAAACATGCGCTGATGTATGAGTCCGCAAAAATGGCATAGGGTCTTCAAACATCTTCAAACGAGCCATGCTATTCCTGTGGCACCCTTATGTTGCCTTCATCCTGTGATGTTGCGCAATGCTGCTTGCATTGCCGTAAACCCTAAACCCATGGGCAGCCGCGCCTGGTATGTTCTTTCTCGGTATCCCCAATTCTTGCGCCAGCGCTGCTGCTCTGGGCTCAGCAAAGGCTCCTGTAGCGCCTCAGGATTTGGGCGTGTACGATATACTATCAGATACAATATCATATGTTATAAGGTATAGTGCTATGTAGTATCGTAGACTACAATATTCAACATTCAATGGCTCGTAGATCCCAGCCTTGAGACAAGCCAAAGACACAGAAGCCCGGACCCTGAGCCACCTAGACTCCTAGGGTTCAGGGTTTAAGGGTTTAGGGGTAGGGTTTAAGGTATAGGCTATTATAGGGTTTAAGAATTAGGCCCTCTGATCCTTGTCGGAGAGCCTTGCTTTCCACCCAAAGGCTCGAGGTCAGGAAGTCCTGTCAGGCACGACGGCCGTGAGATTGCGCAGTTGGCATAAACGAAGCAAAGCGGCGAGCGCAACACCTGTGATGAAGGCAAGAAAAGGAAAGACCGATGACTGCGATTCTCGTCATTGCAACCGTTGTCGTCGTTGCATTCTCACGATGATGATGTCCACCGAAGCAGCATCCAATGCACATCGTCAGTCACCACTATCATCATAACATGGCGAGCGTCACCGTTATCAGCTCTAGCTGTCTCGACACCGCCTTGCTCGTCATCATCGTTGTCGTGACAGTCGCCATAATCATCACCATCATCATGATCATCTTCATCATCATCACCATCATCATCGTCATCATAGTCATCATCATAGTCATCGTACTCTTCATCGTCATCATCATGATCATCAGAATCACCATGCTGAATGCACGTTTCGCTTCCATCATCGTTTAGTGCAAGTGCCCCTGCCATCATCTTCCTTGTCATCGTCAACATGATCATCAATGTCGCCAGCATCATCAACCACAACAGCGAAAACAACAACATCCATCCACCACCATCATCATCATCGTGGCAATCATCATCATCATCATCGTCACCATCATCATCAGGATGCTCTGGTCGTCGCCATCATCATCATCATCATCATCATCGTCAGAGTTCAAGCGATTGTTGTTATTCCGCTTGCCAGTATGTGCCCGAATGAACTGTCATAGCAACCATGTTTTGCTATCCGTCCCTTCTGAATACTTGATGTTAGTGTCGAGTTCCCAAGGCTGACAGCAAGAAAATATGTGCGTGTGTGAAAGGCTGACATGTTGAATCTGATCTTGCGCTCCCACTCCTATCGTCGTAGTTGTTGTTGCTGCCGTTGCGGTGGTTGTTGGTGGTGGCGTTGCTGTTGCTGTTGCTGGTGCTGGTGCCGATGCTGGTGCTGTTGCTGTTGCTGTTGTGTTTGATGTTGATGTTGTGGTTGCTGGTGGTGTTGTTGTTGTTGTTGTTGTTGGTGGTGGTGGTGGTGGTGGTGTTGGTGGTGGCGGCTGCTGCTGCCGTTGTTGAAGTTGCTGCTGGCGTTGTCGTTGTCGAAGCTGTCGCCGTCGCCGCTATTGTTGTTGTTGTTGCTGCTGCTGCTACTGCT